GGGGAGGGAGAGAGATGGGGGGAGGGAGAGACACGGGGAAAGGGGGTGAAAGAGGCAGAGGGGAAGAGAGAGACAGAGGGAGAAATGAGAGAGACACACAAGGGGAGGGGAAGAAAGAGGCAGAGGGGGAAGAGAGAGACTGGGAAGGAGAGGGGAGACATTGACACAGAGGAGCAGTGAGGGGGAGAAAGAAACATACAGAGTGACTGGGGAGACAAAAAGGCACACAGAGGGGCTGGAGATAAAGAGACACACATAGGGGCAGTATATATCACAAAGCCTCAAGGCTTTCCTGTTGCCGATTCCTGCTCTTAATAGGCACTGCGTTAGTCGGTGGGAGGAAGAGAGGACCTGGGGCAACGCACCGGCTCTCACGAGGGTGAACTCTAGCCCTGGAGCTACGGGCTAGAGTTCACTCTCACCACTTCCTGGTGGTCCCAGTAGTAGGAGTGAACTCTAGCCCCATACACACACCATACACATTCACACACTGCCCCCACACACACACACACATACACATTTACACACTGCCCACCCACACACTGAACCTTTCACACACATTGCACCACTGCTCCTATACCCTACTACAGCCCCATATCCCAGCAGACTCCAGGTAAGTTGTCAAACTGTTCTTAAACTGTTTGACGACTTACTCTGGGAGGGGGTGCCGATGCTCTTGGCACCATAACCACTACACAGAGGAGTAGTGGTTATTGTGCATGGAATATTTCTTTAAATAACCTACAAGTGCCCCTCTCAGGCTCAGGCTCTGGATCCGCCATTAGTATATGACATGTATATTAATGTGTTGTGATCCTTGTCACCAGGTAGCACGGCCCTCTAGGGTAAAAACATGCACAGTCCTTGTAATTGCATATACTCAGGCACTTTATTTGTAAATCCACACAGGATACAGCAGTAAAAGAAAAACAAAAGTAACAGAAAACCCTATAAACAAACACCTAGCTCGTCTGAGCACTAACTGACATTAGTTCCCTATCTCTCAGGGTTAAACTAAACACAATATTGCACCAACCTTATTAGAGAGCAACGCTCTGCTATCTAACCTGTTGCTTTCCTTTCTGCACTCCCAGTGCTCCAAGCCAGCCTTGCCCTGACTGCTTTGCTTTCTGCACTCCCAGTGCTCCAAGCCAGCCTTGCCCTGACTGCTTCCTTTCTGCACTCCCAGTGCTCCAAGCCAGTCTTGCCCTGACTGCTTCCTTTCTGCACTCCAAGTGCCTAGTCACCTTGACTATCTGGAGAGAACAGCCTCTCTCTCCTACCTGCTTCCTGGGAGGAAGCCAGCAATCCCTCTCCTTTTTTCCTGCCTAGCCGGGAGGAGTTTATTCCCACTGCAACAGCTGATTACCTGCAGCTGAGCAGTGGGTTGGAGACAGTCCAAAAAACCCTGGCCTGGATCTAGGTCTCCCCAGAACACCACTAAACTGTGGAGTGGAGCATTGGCCCACCCTTCTCTCCAAATGCTACACCCCAGGGGCCCATAACTAAACAATGCGTTGTGTTGTGCAACACACAAACTACACATACTCCCCCTGGGGTTAAAAGGCCTATCTGCCTTCACTTTATCACATATCCTCCTCCCCAGCTCAGACCCATCGGGTCGAGCGGCCTTAGAACACAAACCGTGAACTTTCATAACACCTAGGGCTCTACCAGCCCTGACTAACTTCTCAGTTACAGGAAGTGGCCTACTGTAGATAGCGGCTACCTTGCTCCCTTGATTAATTAGTGCTTGTGCACTCTTCCCTACCACCATCACCACTTTTAGCTGTGCTGTAACACCACCACCAGTCACCATACACATCTTTAAGCAAGTCAATACAATCCTATACAGAGCCCTTATTACTATGTCACATTGTATTGTCTCTTCACTCTCAGGACAGCTATATGTAATATGTCCATGCATGCGGCAGTTGAAGCATATGAGTTCTTTCTCAGTCTGGTCTCGTATGGAGCGCTGTTCTTGTGCCGGAGGCCCAGACTCCCGGCGTAGCTCGTCTTTCCTTTGCCTGGTTTCCTCCCCAGGGGTATCCTCTGCTTGCTCAGGCTTGAGTGGCCACCTCTCAACATCAGCAATGCTTTCCTCTGGGCTTTCTGGCGGTCTCCCTGTTCCCTTGGGGGTGTCCAGAGACGCAGTCATGGCCTCTCGCTGGATCATGACAGCCCCGGTATCAAACAGCTGGTCAGGCAGTCCGAGTCCCGCCTTTAATTCCACAACTGTGTTCCCCGAATATGGCAGCTGTTCGAGGTAGTTAGTGCGCCCAGGCCTTGTAGCAGTAGTCTTTGCCAGCAGATTCAGTTCTACGGCTCCCGAACAATCCTTCAAAGTGTTTGTAGCTATACCAGGTGTCTTTGAAATATTTATTTCTGTTAAGCCAATGTCATCTACTATGTCACTTTCACCTTTGTTTAGATCAGAAGCGGCTACTTTGCCTTTCTTGTTTTGACTTTGTTTTGCTACTACTTCTCGGCCTTGCTTTTCTCTGCCAAACTGTTCAACAGCTGGTCGACATTCTTGGGTAGCCTCAGCTACTAGACAGTGCACCACATTGTTATACTCCACTGGGGTGCCTTGCTTCTCTCCATTTTCCTCAGCTCCTCTGCTGTTGTCTTCTCTGACTCCCCAAGTCAGTCTGCTTTTCATGCCTTTGACTTGTTCACTTGGGTGTACATCAGGGGCTTCTGCTTCATTTTTTTCACAAACCGGCTTGACACTGCTGGCCTCAGCCACAGTCTTTTTTTCTCCTTTCTGATTCTTCTGACCTTTCTTACTTTGGCGCATGTCATCAGTGTCGCCATCACTGCCTCTTGGCAATTCCGCTTTTTCCTTCAGCTTTGCTGGACTCTTTACTAACTTTTTTTCTTTTTGTTCCTTTGAGGATCCAGCTGGCTTTTCACCCTCTTCCATTTTATCACTTCTTTCAGGCTCAATTTCATCCTTCTTGCCTTTTAATGCCTGTTCTCTCTCTCCTGCGTGTTTCTCAACAGCACGCTTTGCTGCCTCCATGCTTTTCAGCTTGCTGAAGACTTCTTCTACTGCCTCTGTCATCCCATGCAGGATGTCAGTAGCTTGGTTACAGGGTCCCTTGTCCCCACGCTCCCTGCAGGGGGCAATCTGCAAAACCTCAGTAAGGGCAGCTCTATGCTCCTGCTGAGCGTCCCTCAGGTTCTTAACCTGTGCAGCCAGCAAACTGTTTGTGCCTTGTTGTTTAGCCGTTGCCTGTACCACAGCTCTCAGCAGGTCCTCCATTATAGCACCAAGCAGGTAACAGTCTTAAAGGTACAGTGCTACTTGTTTGCTTAACAGGTCTGCAAAAATAAAAGTCCCCAAGCAGACTACCGAATGCCTGGCACACCCACAGACCCTCACTGTGCTACTGTGCCCGCATTCTCCACCATATTGTGATCCTTGTCACCAGGTAGCACGGCCCTCTAGGGTAAAAACATGCACAGTCCTTGTAATTGCATATACTCAGGCACTTTATTTGTAAATCCACACAGGATACAGCAGTAAAAGAAAAACAGAAGTAACAGAAAACCCTATAAACAAACACCTAGCTCGTCTGAGCACTAACTGACATTAGTTCCCTATCTCTCAGGGTTAAACTAAACACAATATTGCACCAACCTTATTAGAGAGCAACGCTCTGCTATCTAACCTGTTGCTTTCCTTTCTGCACTCCCAGTGCTCCAAGCCAGCCTTGCCCTGACTGCTTTGCTTTCTGCACTCCCAGTGCTCCAATCCAGCCTTGCCCTGACTGCTTTCTTTTCTGCACTCCCAGTGCTCCAAGCCAGTCTTGCCCTGACTGCTTCCTTTCTGCACTCCAAGTGCCTAGTCACCTTGACTATCTGGAGAGAACAGCCTCTCTCTCCTACCTGCTTCCTGGGAGGAAGCCAGCAATCCCTCTCCTTTTCCTGCCTAGCCGGGAGGAGTTTATTCCCACTGCAACAGCTGATTACCTGCAGCTGAGCAGTGGGTTGGAGACGATCCAAAAAACCCTGGCCTGGATCTAGGTCTCCCCAGAACACCACTAAACTGTGGAGTGGAGCATTGGCCCACCCTTCTCTCCAAATGCTCCACCCCAGGGGCCCATAACTAAACAATGCGTTGTGTTGTGCAACACACAAACTACACATACTCCCCCTGGGGTTAAAAGGCCTATCTGCCTTCACTTTATCACAGTGTGTATTAGTTTTATATCTCTATTATATTTACACATATTAATGTACATTTATAAATGCATAATACACAGAGAAATTTCATTAATATGTACCATATGTAATGAGCAGATATTGGCCCAGTCTTGTTGCTAGGTGCATACTCCAGCACAATAACATATTGTGATAAAGTGAAGGCAGATAGGCCTTTTAACCCCAGGGGAAGTACGTGTAGTTCGTGTGTTGCACAACCCAACGCTTTGTTTAGTTATGGGCCACTGGGGTGGAGCATTTGGAGAGAAGGGTGGGCCAATGCTCCACTCCACAGTTTAGTGGTTTTCTGGGGAGACATAGATCCAGGCCAGGGTTTTTTGGACCGTCTCCAACCCACTGCTCAGCTGCAGTTAATGAGCTATTGCAGTGGGAATAAACCCCTCCCGGCTAGGCAGGAAAAGGAGAGGGATCGCTGGCTTCCTCCCAGGAAGCAGGTAGGAGAGAGAGGCTGTTCTCTCCAGATAGAGTCAAGGAGACTAGGCACTGGGAGTGCAGAAAGGAAGCAGTCAGGGCAAGGCTGGCTTGGAGCACTGGGAGTGCAGAAAGCAAAGCAGTCAGGGCAAGGCTGGCTTGGAGCACTGGGAGTGCAGAAAGCAAAGCAGTCAGGGCAAGGCTGGCTTGGAGCACTGGGAGTGCAGAAAGGAAAGCAACAGGCTAGCTAGCAGAGTGTTGCTCTCTAATAAGGTTGGTGCAATATTGTTTTGTTTAGTTTAACCCTGAGAGATAGGGAACCTAATGTCAGTTAGTGCTCAGACGAGCTAGGTTTTTGTTTATAGGGTTTTCTGTTACATTTGTTTTCATTTACTGCTGTATCCTGTGTGAACTTACAAATAAAGTGCCTGGAGTATATGCAATAACAAGGACTGTGCATGGTTTTTGCCCTAGAGGACCGTGCTACCTGCAAACAAGGATCACAATATTTAAAGTGAAGAGCACACCCACAGGACTTCAAAATAAAAAAATTTCAGTTGTGCCCTACATACATTCACCATTTCAGTCCCATTAACAAGCTTTCCTTAATATGTCAAGGTAGTTGGACTGAAACATTGATTACATGCAAAGGCACGTCTGCTTAAAATAAATCTGCACTTTTGTTTATTTTGAAGCCTATGAGTGCTCTTTTTACGTTGAAGTACTTTTTAATTTTAAGTTATCTGTTCTAACTCTGTATCTGCACACTATGCTGGCGCGATGCATTATGGGGCTGGTAAATATTTTTTTTCCAGGGCTGCTTTTAATTCCCAGTCCAGCCCTGGCCCTGTCTACATTAGTTCTGCCACTGTGTTGGGGTGGAGGGCGTGATTGCATGCCAGAGAGTGAAAGTGTGGGGGGAGGGCGAGGGATGGCAGGATCCAGGGGGCCCAAACAAATGCCTGCCCAGTGTCCAATCAATGTTAAAGACGGCCCTGAGTATATGCAATAACAAGGACTGTGCATGTTTTTGCCCTAGAGGACCGTGCTACCTGCAAACAAGGATCACAATATTTAAAGTGAAGAGCACACCCACAGGACTTCAAAATAAAAAAATTTCAGTTGTGCCCTACATACATTCACCATTTCAGTCCCATTAACAAGCTTTCCTTAATATGTCAAGGTAGTTGGACTGAAACATTGATTACATGCAAAGGCACGTCTGCTTAAAATAAATCTGCACTTTTGTTTATTTTGAAGCCTATGAGTGCTCTTTTTACGTTGAAGTACTTTTTAATTTTAAGTTATCTGTTCTAACTCTGTATCTGCATACTATGCTGGCGCGATGCATTATGGGGCTGGTAAATATTTTTTTTCCAGGGCTGCTTTTAATTCCCAGTCCAGCCCTGGCCCTGTCTACATTAGTTCTGCCACTGTGTTGGGGTGGAGGGCGTGATTGCATGCCAGAGAGTGAAAGTGTGGGGGGAGGGCGAGGGATGGCAGGATCCAGGGGGCCCAAACAAATGCCTGCCCAGTGTCCAATCAATGTTAAAGACGGCCCTGGTCCTCCTTCAGACCATCTGTGTGTCTCTGTGCCCCCAGCCCTTCTGTGTGTCTTCCCTCCCTTCTATGCCCTTTATTGCCCCCTCTCCTCCTGTGCCATCTTTAGCCCCCTCCGTTGCCTTTCTTTGTCCCCTCCTGTGCCCTTTTGAGTCACCACCTACCATCAGCAGATGGATAGTCTAGGCTATTGCCAGGCTACTAAGCTTCAGGTGTTACAGTACATGAAGGTCTCTCCACTAGAGCAATTTCTCCCTCTTGAGTGGCAGTGGCCAAAGTCTCCCCAGAACTTGTATGTAAAATGACTTCTTGGTCCTCATCCAATATTTTCATCAGGCAATTTTTGTTGGGATGTTTGAGTTGGTCAATCTGATAATTTGACAGGATAGGGAGGAGTTACCCATTGTTATCCTGTCATGGCCCATGATCAGGAAAATTACGGTAAGTAGGAATACATTTTTCTTTATATAACATAAAAAACACCTTTTTTTTTTTAGTTTAAATGTTATATGTATAACAAAAATCAGATACAAGTTTTTTCTAATTACTATAGTACTAGTGTTTAAACATTAAAGGCACACCCCCGGTTATTATTTATTTTTGCAATGCCATTACATAATGCATTAAAATATATATATGGTGAAACAATACATTAAAAAAAGTTTTTAAAAAAGCCAAAAACATATAATTGCATGTGTGATTCCTGCATTTGCAATAAAACACCCCCGCAGCTTCTGTGGTGAGCTCTGCCCAGACCAAGAAGTAATTCAGCTAATAATAATGCTTTTAGAACTCTCTAAGGCAGTGATAGTCGTATCCCCCAAATCTTTGCATTGCAGGGTTATGGGAGCCACTGTGGGTTATGGGAGCTATAGTTTCTACTTTAGAACGCTGACAGCAGAATCTCCCTTAAAACATTGCTATGCTGTTTTTCATCATAGTACAAGAACTTGTACGAACAGAAGAGAGTCTTTACTTCCTGTAAGCAGTGGTGAAGCAAGACTCCTCCCCCATAATTGTATCCCTTCCTATACAGTACAAAGATACTTATACAATACAAAGAGATGAGTATAATACAAAGATGCTCATACAATAACACAAGCTGGGCACAATATAAAGACATAAATGTGGCAAATATCAATATAACTATGTAATGCTGAAATGCAAACAAATTTTATAACAAGACACGGAGGCTCATTTTGCATATCCCTTTCTTTACTGTCCACCAATAGCAGCAAAGAATACAAACAGAATGAACAAATAATGAACATACAGTAACATAGGCCCCTCCCCGCTCAGGTCCCAGTATAATAGGCAGCACTTCCCTTCCAGTTCCCTCTTTCTTTGCTGCTCCGACACAAGATAAGTACATGCCACCTTTTCTCCTCTTCATATTATGCTATTGTACCGTTTTTTATTCTGCTGTACTCTATCCTCCTCTCCTCCATCCTCCCTGCCCTCAGTGCCATTTTGCACACGTTTTTCTCCCCTACCCGGCTGTGTATGCGCACGAAGTAAGCCCATTCGGCTGATTCGCCACGCATACATACCACTCACCATTCGGCAGACAGCGCGTTCGCCTGTTTGCCGTATTCAATTTTTTCATGCGAACAGCCCGTTCGCCTACTCTACATTTTCCCTATACTTACCTATCTGGTTCCCGAATTCACCTTTTACCTACCGAACGTTTCGTTTTTTTGCCGCGAATCTCGCGGATGCCGCGAATCCCGCGAGATTACTGGCGGCCATTTTCAGACTTCCTGTCTTCTTTCCTACCCTGCATCTGAGTGTACCACTGGTCTGGGCCCTGGTGAGAGCGTTTTTTGTTTGGCTATTGCTGTTTGGGTGACTAACCCATACTATTCCTGCTACTTATAAGGGATTATTCTCTGGCTATTTCTACCATGCCTAAACCCAGACTATCTTCTGGTTCCACTCCCTCTGGGGAGTCTGACACCCCACTCAATAGGAGTGAGGCCCCTGTCACCTCAGGCAATTCGCCCACTATGACAGATGGAACTACCCACCCTGATACGGCTCAGTTCTTAGCGCTGCAGCACTCGGAGACAGACGCTATTATGGCGGCCATGGGGTCTATGTCCTCTACCCTCTCCCACACCATTTCACAGGCCCTCCTGCCACGTCCTTTGGACGAGCAATACTCTGGCTCCACGACGCCTCTAACGCGTCCTACTGTGAACCCTCAGGGAGAGATATATAAAAAGGCTACCCATAAGTCTAAACATCCCTCTGCCTCCAGAAACACCATGACTGGCGTACCTACGGTCGCCCCAGAAAGCGTGTCCCATCCACGCAAAAGAGCCTTTCCGCGCCAGGTAGAACGGGCGCGGCTATGGAAATGTGCCAGAGCACAGTTAGAGAGCGACTCCGACTCAGAAATCGGGTCAAATGAGGAGGCTAAGATTAAGTCGGACAGTGACTCTGATGCGGATGCCGCTGATACAGGCTTTGACCTCCTTTCCTCTGCTCAAGCAGAGATGCCCGGAGGTGATACAGGGATTAGGAACCCCGCGGCCGCGGGGTCCACCCTTGTGGATCCGTCGGGTGTTCCACTCTTCGACCCGGATGACCTACACCATCCGGGATCGGCAGAGTGGCTCCTGGCCGACCATGTTGCCACATATCTGGAGAATTGGGTCAGACGACCCCTGAGTAAAGCGGCCTGCAACAAATTGAGGGCGGAGTGTCCTAGGCCTGTGGTGCCCAATAAAGTTTGCGACACTCCTGAGGTAGACCCCAAGATGACCCAGTTCCGCACCAAATTGGGCTGGAACCCCCGTAAGGGGCTGGAATCTGCATTAAAGTCCTGCCAGGACAAACACCTGGACAGATTCGGCACCCTGGCCAAATTATTTGACTTGGCGGAAGATGCCAGAGCGGAGAACCGCATGGTTGACCCCGAAGACCTACGTGGTTGGGTCCAGAGAGCAATATGTATTGCCGGGAGTGTGAATACCTCCCTATCAATAGAACGGCGTAAGGCCATCCTATTTAAAATAGAGCCCAAACTGGCCAACCTCGCCCTCACAGAGGCTGGCAAGGACGCCCAAGGATTGCTCTTCGGAGACTCCTTTATTAAGGATGTAGGGCGTTTTGTTGGAGCATTCACAGCCCTAGATAAGGCCCAGGCCTCCATGAGACGGGTTTTCCAGGGGCAGGGGTCTCCACCAGGGCCGGCAGATTCAGGAGCCATCTGGCCGGCCGTAATTACCCCCAACCCCGTGGCACGGGAAGAGGCTTCTTCCAACACCATACGCAGTACCAGGAATCTAACCCGTTTCCCACCTTCTTCCTGTCACGCGGACGTCCATGGAAATCCACAGGTTTTCGGGGCAACCCAAGTTCCAGACGACCATACGGTGAGTTACCTCATACTTCTTCTCTGGCTTGTGTAGGGGGCAGACTCCAACATTTTTTCCCTGCCTGGTCACAAATAACATCAGACCCCTGGGTGCTGACCACTATCCGGGGCTTCCACATAGAACTCATAGAACATCCGATACACATTCCCCCTCCTCGACCGATCTGCTTTTCACTCCAGGATCGCAGACGGATCGACGAGGAACTCTCCACCCTTCTTACCAAAGGGGCTATAGAACGAGCACCTCTCAATCCCGCAGGTGTCATAAGCAACATTTTCCTGGTGGAAAAGAAAGGCGGTCAATTGAGACCCGTCATAAATCTGCGCCCCTTCAATGCCATAGTCAGGTACCGCCATTTCAAGATGGAAGGTATTCACCTACTAAGAGATCTTCTCCTTCACGGAGATTGGCTAGCGAAGCTAGATCTCAAAGACACGTACCTGACGGTACCGATCGGAGTGGCATCTCGAGACCTCCTACGCTTTCACTGGCGGCACCAGACTTGGCGGTTTACCTGCCTACCCTTCGGCCTCTCCTCAGCACCGTGGTGCTTCACGAAGCTACTATGGCCTGTGATGGCCTGGTTACGCAGTCAGGGAGTTCGGCTAATCGTTTACCTAGACGACATTCTCCTCATGGCTCAGGAGCGTTCTACCCTCCTTACACATCTACGGCTGGCCATAAGCCTCCTTTCCCGCCTAGGTTTCATTATCAACTGGGAAGTCGTGCCTAACCCCCGCCACTCGCATGGAATTCCTAGGATTGCTCGTGGATTCGGGGGAGGCGACGCTGAGCCTCCTGATATCCAAGATTCGTTCCATCGGCAAGGAGTTACGCAGGGCCCTCATCCGGCCCCAGCTCACCTTGCACCAGCTTGCACGACTCATAGGCCTACTGGCCACCTCGATACAGGCAGTGTTTCCGGGCCCGCTCCACTACCGAGCGCTACAATGCCTGAAGATCGCTCACGTGAGAGCCGGTGCATCCTACGCGGACCTGGTGTCACTGGACAGCGAGACGAAGGACAAATTGCGATGGTGGATTCTCAACCTATCCACGTGGAACAGCAAAGCCATCTTCGGCTCAATGCCAGAATTCACGATCGACTCAGATGCGAGTCTCCACGGCTGGGGGGCCCATTGCGAGGGAGTTTCAACAGGAGACTGTTGGTCGGAATCCGAATCCCGGCTGCACATCAACGCGCTGGAACTCCTGGCAGGCTCCTTCGCCACACGCAGTTTTGCCAGGGACCGAGCCCTAACATGCATTCGGCTCCACATGGACAACGTCTCGGCGGTGAGATATGTCAACCACCTGGGCGGTACACAGTCGGCAGTCTTGGCCAGATTGGCGAAAGACTTTTGGGAATTTTGCCTGGAACAGAACCTGATGGTCTATGCGGAATACTTACCTGGCCTGCACAACGTCCAGGCAGACTGGGGATCACGATATCTTTCAGACACCAGCGATTGGAGATTGGCCAAGGAGGTGTTCTCCAGTATATCGTCTCTTTGGGGACCATTTACCATCGACCATCAACGCCCAACTGTCATGCTTCTTCAGCTGGAGGCCAGATCCAATGGCGGAGGCAGTGGACGCCTTCCTGCAAGACTGGAGCGGAGGCCTCCTATATGCTTTTCCCCCGTTCTCCATGATCCCGCACTCACTCCTGCAGACCTGCTGACACCAGGCAGAGGTGGTCAAGGTGACCCCCTTTTGGGAAACAGTCGTGGTACCCCCAAATGCTCGAGATGACGATTGACTATCCCTGACTACTGCCAGAGTGCCACAACTTGCTGCGGGACCCGATGGGACGATGTCACCCCCTCCGGTTGGACGGCTCCCTCCCACTCCTGGCATGGCGGATCTCCGGGGACCCTTGGAGATCCAAGGAGTTTTGGACACGACTAGACGACTGTTGGCGGAGGCATGGGCTCACGACACTAGACGGGCATATGGGTCAGCTTGGTGAGCTTGGGCTGGCTGGTGCATGGCTAGGAACGCGGATCCCGTTTCGGCCTCTGTGTGACGAAATGCCTTTTGTCCCTGGATTGTTAGGTGACAAGCTGCCCTTTGCCCCCGGCTTTTGGAGGAGCCTGATTGCCAGCCTCCTTCCTCATGACTATGGCCCTGGAGTGTATTGCCATTTAAAAAAGACTATTTGGGGCTTATTGGCTTCTAAAGACAGTTTCTTCCCATTGGAATCCATGGGAAGGTGTGTTTCTTCCCCTCCCCCGTTTCCTGTCTATTGTCTATTGTTCACCTAGATTGGGCGCTCAGATCCGAGCTATCTGGGGATAGGTTAAATGTGGGGGTTCTGTGTAATAAAATAAGAATTATGTATTTTTATGTACTTTTACGTATTTTTGCTGTTAGTGTTAAATGTAGATATTTTCTGTACCTGGAGATAATTGAGTTTACTGCAGTGCCTTAAGCCAATTATCTCCAGGATGGAGAGGAGGGATTTCATTGTGTATGTGAGAGTGTTATCATGTTAATTAGTGTTCCCATTGGTTTGTGTCCCTTTTGTCACAGTTTACCACCAGGTCCAGGGGGTGTGCCTCTGACCTGAAAACTTGTATATAAGGAGTAATAAACGCTCATTGGAGTCAGATCATCTTGTACCTTCATGAAGTTTCGGCTCATGTTTGGGGGATTGGAGAAACTACACTCTGGGGATTGCTATAATCCCTATACTCCCCAGGGTATAATCACTAAGCTCTGCTAAGAGCTTGTTCCTGTTCCTGCTCTCTGGAATTCGGAGAGAGGTCGACCTGCTGGAAGCTGGACCCTGGTCCTGGGTCCAGAGTGGGTGGAGACGGCGAGACCCCAACCAAGCTGCGGCGGTTCGTGGGGTCTGCAGTGGTTATGGTGTCAGGCAGAGTGCTTCGTCCTTCCGCCCCAGCGGCAGTGTGAATTACAGGGAGCCGAAGGTGTCGTCCTTCCTCCCCAGCAGCAGTGTGAATTACAGGGAGCCGAAGGTGTCGCCCTTCCTCCCCAGCGGCAGTGTGAATTCCAGGGGGCCGAAGGTGTCGTCCTTCCCCCCCAGCAGCAGTGTGTTCCTACCGGGAGCAGAGACAGTTGGTCTCTCTCTCCAGCAGCAGGACAATGTTATGGGAGTGGAGACAGGCGGTCTCCCTCTCCAGCGGCAGACTGTGTTTCAGGGAGAGGAGCACAGCACCCTATCTCCCCAGCGGCAGCTTACCCTACCAAGGGGAGACACCATTCTCCCAGATGGCACAGAGGGGACCGTGGTCTCCGTGCCCGACCTACAGGGATGCTGGACAGCCTGTCCAGATCCCCAACTACCCTCACAGGGACAACAGGAGGAGGGGGTAAGTACGAATTCCCCTCCCCAGCTAACTCCTAACTTGGCCCCAGGGTTAACAGAAGAGATGGTAACCTCCACTGACTCCCATGTTCCCCTGGCTACTGAGCCGGACTATGTTCCCAACACCCCAGCAGAAGAGCTGACAGCTGGACAGAGTGCAGTCGGCCTCTGCCCTCCCTTTGACCCTTGTACAGAGCTTGACATTCTGCCGGCTATCCCAGCACAAGAGCTGACATCAGGGCAGAGCGCCGCTGGCCTTTGCCCCCCAAGTACCACCAGCTATTTGCCCAGCTGCACCAGGAAGGCCGAGGATGCTGCATTTTTATCCTACAACCTGGAACCTACCGGCCAGTACTGTTTATTGTCGGGGGGCTACTTTGCCACTTGTTATTTGTGGGTGGGCTACTCATGTACTTGTTCACTGTGGGTGGGTTTATCGACTAACTCAGGCACTGACCGACAGGTCAGGTACCTGGTTAGTCTCCCCCCCAAAGGGGAGATGTGTGACGAAATGCCTTTTGTCCCTGGATTGTTAGGTGACAAGCTGCCCTTTGCCCCCGGCTTTTGGAGGAGCCTGATTGCCAGCCTCCTTCCTCATGACTATGGCCCTGGGGTGTATTGCCATTTAAAAAAGACTATTTGGGGCTTATTGGCTTCTAAAGACAGTTTCTTCCCATTGGAATCCATGGGAAGGTGTGTTTCTTCCCCTCCCCCGTTTCCTGTCTATTGTTCACCTAGATTGGGCGCTCAGATCCGAGCTATCTGGGGATAGGTTAAATGTGGGGGTTCTGTGTAATAAAATAAGAATTATGTATTTTTATGTACTTTTACGTATTTTTGCTGTTAGTGTTAAATGTAGATATTTTCTGTACCTGGAGATAATTGAGTTTACTGCAGTGCCTTAAGCCAATTATCTCCAGGATGGAGAGGAGGGATTTCATTGTGTATGTGAGAGTGTTATCATGTTAATTAGTGTTCCCATTGGTTTGTGTCCCTTTTGTCACAGTTTACCACCAGGTCCAGGGGGTGTGCCTCTGACCTGAAAACTTGTATATAAGGAGTAATAAACGCTCATTGGAGTCAGATCATCTTGTACCTTCATGAAGTTTCGCTCATGTTTGGGGGATTGGAGAAACTACACTCTGGGGATTGCTATAATCACTATACTCCCCAGGGTATAATCACTAAGCTCTGCTAAGAGCTTGTTCCTGTTCCTGCTCTCTGGAATTCGGAGAGAGGTCGACCTGCTGGAAGCTGGACCCTGGTCCTGGGTCCAGAGTGGGTGGAGACGGCGAGACCCCAACCAAGCTGCGGCGGTTCGTGGGGTCTGCAGTGGTTATGGTGTCAGGCAGAGTGCTTGGAGTCCTCAGAAAGCACTAGGAGCATCCGTCGGCGGAAGGTACCCGGTCGGGGTGCCAGCGGTTCCGTTACACTCTGTAACCATTGTCCTGCAATTTCTGACGTCCCTTTTAGAGGCTGGAAAGGCTTACAGAACTATCAACCTTTATCGGTCTGCCATCTCGGCAATTCACCAAGGCTTCGACGGATGTCCCGCGGGACAGCTTCCCTTAGGGTGCCGACTCCTCAAGGGCTCTCGATTCTCCTGACCACCCAGGCCTCGCTACTCCACGACCTGGGACGTCTCCGTTGTGTTGGCCTTCCTATAATTCAGGGCTCTCCCTAAAACAACTATCTGCCAAGTTGGTTTGCCTGCTCTGCCTTGTCTCATGCAAGAGGGTCTTGGATGTCAGAGCGCTGGATTTCGACGCCAGGTCATATACCCTGGACGGGGTAACATTCAACATCAGCTGGCGGACTAAGACTTCTATCAAATCGGTATCCTACCCTAGTTTCCCTACCTCTCCGGCATTATGTCCAGTGGCCTGCCTACGCGAATATAACTCGCACCAACTCTCATCGCTCCGCTACCTCTCCACAGCTATTTTTATCCTTTCGTCCCCCTTTCCACCCAGTTTCTAGCACAACCTTGTCACACTGGGTGAAGTGGCTATTGTCCCAGACAGGCATTGATACCACGGTCTTTGGCGCCCATTCGGTCCTGGGGGCCTCAGCCTCTTCGCGTGTCTGGAGGACATTATGAAGACGGCCGATTGGTCAAGGGTGTCTACGTTCCGGGAGTTTTACTTTCACACGGCCCGACATACATTCGCTGCGGTAGTGGACCAGCTTTAAACTTGCAATATGAGCCTACGTGTCTTGTTATAAAATTACATGATTTTGCTATTACATGACGAAAAGTCATGATTTTATTAAAGACACGGAGGCGAGTATTGTCCCACCCATCTTATTCTTCTACGGTTATAATTATTTTTTCCCACCCAGGTTTAATACACGCTACAACAAACCACATTGAATGGTTTTGTACGGTAAGTGGGGCCATACTGCGAGAAGGATGTTTATGTAACTTAATGGTAAATCACTCTTATTTTGTGGGACTGCATTTTTGTGGGTTTTTTCTCACCCGTTTAACCTTGAAATTAGTTGCAAGTATCGACTTTAACCTGTCAGCTCCTGTTCCTTTATGTTTTCACAGCTTAACTCGACAAGATGGCAAGCAGTCATCCGACTTATGAGGACTCCCCCCGCTATTATCCGGTGGTCCTATGAATCCTCTGGTCAAGCTTCCCGGTTGTTGATGTTCTACCCTCTTCAGTTTTAAGTTGTTACCTTGGGACTTTTCTCACAATTCTTGGTTTGGACATTTTTACCATGGTCGCATCTTCAGAAAGAGGGAAATGGAAGGGAAGTGCTGCCTTTTATACTGGGACCTGAGCGGGGAGGGGCCTATGTTACTGTATGTTCATTATTTTTTCATTCTGTTTGTATTATTTGCTGCTATTGGTGGACAGTAAAGAAAGGGATATGCAATACTCGCCTCCGTGTCTTTAATAAAATCATGACTTTTTGTCATGTAATAGCAATATCATGCAATTTAATCCAACTGACAGTGGATAAGTCTACCGAATGGCAGTAGAAAGGTTAATATGAAAAAGTGTATGATCAGTAATATAATTATGTTTTGCGGTGAGGCTTTCACTTGTACCTATACGTGCTTACACTGAAAGCCAACTACTCAACCTCCAACACCCTTCTTGCAAGATAAGTGCTATCAAAAGGTATGTGTATTATATTCCAGAGAAATGGGCAGGGTAACTAATATTCCTTTGTTTGTAACTGATAACTTCTATATATGCAACATATCAAACTCTATGACCCTCGGAACTAGTTTGGACTGTTTCTCTATTGCACTAAGGACATGATCCTGTTCTTCCACTACTCCAGCCTCTGACTTGTTAATTGGAAATTCTTCTTTAGAGGGTCTTGGCTATTTGGCTAACATCTATAAAGTACATAGAGCTGAGTACAATATAGAGATAACCATACCACAAACAGAGATAAGAAAAATACACAGAGCTGGGCATGAATGTGAATATAAATGTTATGGAACAGTTTTCGGCCGGAGGTGACAGTGCGGTTCCCGGACAACTTGGTTTCATGGTTTTGAACCACTTTGAAATCCGCTAGGAGAGCGCTTTTTGGAGGGAAGGTGCCTGAGACTAACGGGAACAAATGCTACCTAAGAGCCAGCTGGAGCTTACGAAAGTTGACCGTCCAAAGCACCAAACACCAATGTTTTGGGCATAGGTCCATGGGTGCGGCCGGTCAGAACTTTAACACAGTGGCGTTTCCCCTACACTGCATGGATCTAAGCGCTATTTGGAGAACTTGGGCGCTCAGATTAGTGCTATTTGGGGATGTATTTTTTGTGGGGTTATTATATATTTTTATGATGATTTGGGGTATTTTTATGTTTTCGATTTTTAAGTTTGCCTCTCTGTTCCTGGGAAAGAATTTGCTTACTGGTTTTTAACCCAATTATCTATCAGGCACAGAGATCTTACAATACATTGTATTGTGTGGAGACCCCGTGCTGGGGGTTGTGTATGTAAGCAGGCAACTTGGCCATAATAAACCAGTTCCTTTACACCATTCACTCAGTCTGTGCTGGTGTTTGGGTGGATCAGCTATACTCTCTGCAGGAGAGCTTAATCACTTACAGCTGTACCCAGGACCCTGTTCCAGAGTGGGAAGAGATGGAGAGACCCCAGCCAAGCTGCGGCGGCTAGGGGCTGAAGCACTCCTGTGTCCCACTATAGAATATTGCTATTTAATATAACTTGTGTAGTGCACCATTAATTTGACCCCTGGGTAGAGGACAAATGGCAGAGAGAAATTGCTCTTTTCATGAAAAGGGGCTTCTGCAAGGTGCGAAAAGGATTGCCCTTTCGATCTTTCAAAGGCCCTGTATGTCTAGTTTCATTGTAAACTAACTGACTTTGACCATATGGCCTGAAACTCTCAATTGATAGTCCAATCCTTTGATATGATAATGGTATTAGTTTCATGAAGACCCTTGTGTTCCAGTATCATATCCAAGAGAAACATTAATACTTACCCACCGTTGTTGGTGTAAATAATTTATTTATCATATATTTTGTATGCACTATGACTATTTTTTGCTCATAATAAAGATGAATTTATTAAGTTCTGCCTTTGGTTAAGAATCACATTACCTGAAGAGACTAATTAGTATTTTAAAATTACATAGATATTGTGCTAAATAATATTTGGTGGGTTTTTATTATTGATTTACCTGGGGGACCAAGGCACCTCATTTATAAATTGTCTTGGTGGTGGCAGCGTTAAAATAGTAATAGTTATATTATTTTGTTTAAGTGTGAGTGGTGTTAAGGGGGGTTTTGTCATTATTTTCGGTCAAGTGTTGATAAATAGTGAACTTTAACCCTTTTGCCACCACAACTACATCACGCACACTCTTGAAGTAGCGTGCATTCATGACAATAACTATCCCACACATCCAGGATCACTGTGATGGATTACACAGAGCTGCAATACAGAGATCCCCACACAGTACATGTCTCTGTATAATGCTCCATCTCTCTCTCTCTCTTCTTCAGTAGTGCTCCTGCTATGCTAACTTTGCCTTTCTATTAAATAATGCTGCTCTTATGAAACATATCAGCTACTCCATTAACTCTCAGCACATAGTGTGCACATGGTTAAAGCATCAAGATACTGAGAGACTTCAACCATTTCAGCTACTCCTGACTCACTATAGGCTCTCAGCACAGAGTGTGCATAGGGCTAAAGTGGTAGGATACTAATATACTCCTTGTTACCTTTGCAGCTGTCAATATAATTAATCTGCCATGGTAATATGGAGCCAAGAAGTAGCTGATATGGTTAACAGAAGCAACTATCGCTACAGATTGGAACAGATTGAAATCAGAATCAGATTAGTCCTCACAGCCCCAGTCCTGGATTCCCTGCTGTAGAGTGACCAAGCCCTTTAAAGAAGATGGTGGGGATGTGCAGTAGGAGTTATTAAAACTGACTGACAGACAGCACAGTGCTTTTTTCCCCATATTTTTTGGAATACCACGCTCCACTCTAAGTGTTTC